TAGTAGTGATAAAGTTCAGAAGTTCATACTAATAGTTGTATTTGTAGCCGTAGAAACCCTAAACCGAAAAACCTAACCCTAAAACCTGAACACCTGACTTGAACCCTAACCTAAAACGCCAAGCCAGTACTAGTGGTGATGGTGGTGCCTGGTGGTTGTTTTCGTTGCTTTTGTGGTGTGTTGACACCTGTGTGGGTGTTTCAACCTACCACCCCTGGACCCCCAACCTGGAACCCACGGCCGCCGCTCGAGAGGCCGCGCCCCCGTTCGGCCAAGTCCTGTGCTACTGGGCGATCGGATCCCGGACCGGTGGTCAGTGAGCTGATATGGTGCCCTCCTGCCCTCTAATCGGATCAAGTTTGTGTTGAGGCAGCAAAACAAAATTGAAAGTGTTTGCAGAAGGGTGATTTGGAGATCTTCATGGAAGATGGCTCCCAATGGTTGGACTGCTCCTTCCCTACCAAGAACTATGTGGGTATCAAACACGCATTTCTTGAGTTCAGATATTTTAGACAAAAAAGCTGGACTCAGGGAGCGTCTTTTTGTTCTACAGATGGGTACAGTCACCGCCGCAAAGCTTGCCGTGCGCTATTGATCTAAAAAGATTGGGAATGTCCCATACTGCACGTGCACAGCGCTCGCATCCTCCTAGACTTACACCTTCCAATCGCACAGAATGTCTCCGGTGTGCCCCGAGATGTCCTGCGCCTCCAGTGAGCTGCAGCATTTCACCGCTGCATCGTAGTCTCCATCCAGGAGGCCATTGCCATTAGGTTGGAGATGGCCAAGAGTTACTAGTAGCGTCCTCTGTTCCCAGTAGCGATGCCCTCTGTTACTAGTAGCTTCTTGCCCTTTGTTCTAGGTCCAGATTGCATATGTGGCAGGTACAGCACACACTCATACTTCACGGCTTACTAAGCGTGGGTGGTTTGTCGTCTTGGATCCTTTGGCATAAACATCAGTGACATCGTTTGGGATACTTTGTGCCTCGACAAGATGCAAAGTTTGCGCAAAGGACTATTTTTGGGAGGGTGTGTGCAAGCCGCGTTGTTGATATTTACACCAGCTTTGATCCCGTTTTGCTATGACAGCGCCGAAAACAGAGAGAATCCTGCGCGTAACAGAAAGGCATTGGAAACAGAGCCCTAACAACTAGCTATTTGGAAAGCAAAGCTGCTGCACTCAAGTCCGCTCAAACGAATTCCAAACAGTCGCAAATCCACTTGCGCCAGTCAAGCACAACAGACTAGACTGGGGATGTGCTGTGGATCTGTATTACCAAAACAGCGATTTCTGGTCGTTCAGGCAATCGGTCGCCAGGGTCGGTCACCAGAGAGGTCTAGGGAAGGCAACGGAAAAGAAAACCAACCACACAGGATCGGTCGTCAGAATCGGTCGCCAGAGAGGTCTAAGGAAGGAAACGAAAACAAAGCAGGAAAACAAACCAAACCAATCACCCCGGATCGATGGCCAGGATCGGTCACTAGTGATCCTATAGTTCCTGGTCGCTGATCCAGGGGGGGTGTTGGTCGCTGATCCGGGAAAGTTGGTCGCTGATCCGGGAAAGTTGGTTTCTGATCCGGGAAAAGTGGTCGCTGATCCAGCAGTGACTGATCCTGGTCGCTGATCGGACGTTTATCCCCCCCTGTGCCCACGTCCAAAACTAACTAAATATACCAAAATGTCCAAGGGCACTGTCCGCTCCTCCCCTGCAAGGGCAAACTGGGTGAACCTCCTCCCAACCTTCTTGGTTCAAGCTCTATGAAACTCAAGACCACACAGGCCAAAACCCAACGCGCCGCACTTCAGGGCAATGGGCAAAGCAAACAAATTCAATTCCCTGCAAAGCTCAAGGCATCGGAAACCCTGGGTTCCACAAAACAGACCCACTGAACCAACACCCCGGAGATAGCACCTGTTGCAGAGCAAATCGAAGGAGTTGAGTTGAGACTCGAGACACAAAGAATGGAAAGGGGTGGAAGCAAGGAAAAAGCAACGCGCCCTCAAATCCGGCAGTCGTTCTCTTTTGGGTGGTAGGGCAAGTTATGCCAGTCAGCTTGTTAAAAAAACACATGCCCTCTGCCTGCGCAGCAGTTGTTCACACGGCGCTGGCCACGATGGGGAGGTTGTTAGCACTGCTCTATCGCGATTGAAAAGATAATTAAAGTAACTGCTGGCGATATCAACTACACGATCATTATGCACACATAGTATGTACAGTTTATTTATATGTTTCTTGAAACAGCAAGTCCAAAATAGAGTAAGAATGAAAGCAGCGGCTGCACGCATGTTTTTTGTGAGAGGTGTTTGTTTTCCTCTCTGTGGGTTCGACCCGTCCTGAATCCAAGCATGGGACTGGGTTAGCCAAAATTCCACCACTCACCCCACCCGCTCCTATGTAGACCAAAGACCAAATAAAGGCATTGAGAAACACCCCATCCGAAGGAAGGTGCCTATTATTTGAAAAGAGCTGTATATAAAGCAAGCATGTCGGACACCCGTAATTCCAGCTCACGACTTGCTTAAATTGTCCCCCTTGACTTCTACTGCTGAACTGGACCCAAGTTCTTTGTATCAGGTACCCGGTACCCACCCACTAGAATCACCACTAACAGTGCCTCTCAGCAGCGACATGTCGCATTTACACTCGCACACGCAGCCCATGGCACGGAACCACACAAACACACTTTCCACCGAGGCCTGGCAAAACCGCATGGCACAGCAACGTCACCTTTTGACATCTTTTGTTTGTAGTCTGATGGAAACACGTACAAGTAAAAGATTATTGACAATAAAGAGTTTTGTAAAGTTAAAAGAAAAATAGACCCTTCGATCTGGATGGTTTTTCCATATTGATGTGAATTTAATAAAGGAGTTTAGATAGACAATATGCCTAGTCGGCTTTTCGGTTGTGGAGCTCTTTTCGGGTGTCCATCGTCGCGGGTCCCCCATTTTTGGAACGCCCGATTTACAAAAAACGACGCCAGAATTTCAATTACGGGGACGTCGGTTTCTTTTTGATAGGTAGAAGGGATTAGCGGGTCGCTATAAGGGGAAAATGTAAACCCACAGCGCCGCCTGAACTGGATGTTGCAGGAGCTCTACTTCACGCTGTGCAAGGCAAGCGGTCACCTCCACCGACAGAGGGCGGGCGCCTGCAGCCCGAAGCTTTTTAGTGGGCGGACCGCATGGTGGTCCGGTTCTTTGAGTTTTTGAGGAGGTCAGCCGTTGGCATTTCAAGGACCTCAAGGAGTGGCCCACCCCCTGAAAGATCCCAATCAAAGCCAAAGGCTGCCACCAGGAACCGCCAAAAACACGAAAAGGGGCTAGGAAGAAAGTTCAAGGCTGCATGAAAGCAAAAAGCATGTTTCTTCTTGGCGCTGTAGTTTCGCCAACACTGGAACCAAAATACGGCTTGGCTCGTGAAATGTACTCACGAAACATTACGTACGTGCTTTACGCATGCTGCGTGCTCCAAGCACGTGCAAAACACATATTTAGGTAGAAAGAAAGATAGATACGTAGATAAATAGATAGATAGACAGATAGGTAGATAGGTAGATAGATAGATAGTTTTTGAGTTTGAGTTGGGCGCTCGGAAGTCCGGCGACTGCGGGCATGCGGCAGGAGTCCATCTGCCAGCTCCTCATGGAGCCCTATTGATCAGGCTATCTGTCAAAAAGAGCATGGGCGCGCAAAGCTGCTGCAGCACACACCCAAACAAAAGCGCATGAAAAGGTCCCAAGAACATGGTAGCAGGAGCAATGGATGCTTCAACTGCTGGTGGCAGCAAGTCCCATGAAACGTGAAGAAGACCGAGAAAGTTGGGACATCAACGAAAATCGACTAAGCAAAAAGCAAAAATGTACAATGTACAAGCCACGCTCATGATCATCTCACTCATCAGCAGCGCCTTGGTCTGCGCACGGAGCAGCCGCCAGCGCAGGTCAGCAGCCAAGCGAAAAAAGCCAGCTGACAGACACAGCAGCTGCGTAGCGCAAGTCGGCAGCAGCGTCACTAATTGAGCTAAGTTGCGAGTCCACCTGTGATAGGTGTGGCAAGAGACCCAGTGATGGATCCCAATCGGTTGAGCTCCTGCTGGACAAAATCTTTGCCAAGCATCACATTCAATTCAACGTGGCATTGATGGCTCAGTCCGAGCTGTGGCCCCGGCCGAGGCCTCATGCCGCATCCAGAGCAGGGGAGAGAGCTGCACTGCTTTTGCAGCTTTCTGTACCTCTTCCTCAGCACCAGGTCAGTGTACTCCGGGTGGCGGTGCTGCACGCGCTGTCTGAGAGATGCGTGATCCAGGGCCAACCTTCCACAGATGCTGCAGTGTGAGCGCAGGCGCAAGATCCATTCTGGTTGGAAGGTGAAAGCCCGTGGCCTCAAAGTGACTGTTGATCTGAATCGTCATACTATCGAGGCCAAGTTGCCAGTATTGCTTGCCACAAAACAACTGTCCGTCTCACCTGCTTCGGGGTGAGAGAGCGGACGGCATGATATAGAGCTCTGGTGTCGTGAGCAGCAGCTGCCCTGGCAGCTTCATCCATGATGGCTCGAGTCCGGTCTTTCTTCAGCTGCGCACCATGTGTTTTCAATTGCTTATGCAGTCGAAAAACTTGAGTGACGTGGTGCCAAGCCTGAAAACATGTTCGAGGTGTGGCAAACTGTGCAGGCGCCGCCTTTTGCGGGGCCCTTAAGGCCTCCATCCACCTGGGAAGCTTCCGGGTGGTTTCTTGTGAGAACATTTGTTTACCCAGTCTTGCAATCCATCTCACTGGGTCCTGAACGTCCTGAGAAGTCGAGTGGGCCAGATGGTCCTTAGCCTGCATCATGAAGTCCCGCCAGCGCTGTGTTGGCTCTGTATTCAATGGTCACGCGTCGAACATTGTTTTTCGTCAGTGCGGCACTTGGTTTGGAGGTAGATATATACCGCACCTTCCAGTTGGCCAGGACGCTACTCAAGATGGGTAGATGGTCAGGGTGTTGTCTATGAATCATGGGAAGAGGTTGAAGAAACAAAGATCCATGAGCCTCTTTAACACATAGTCAATGACGGGCCCTCTGGGTCCAATGAAGTTGGGTGACGGATCGTGTGCCCGCAAGGAGGTGAGGCCAAAAGTACGAAGCACATCTTTGAATATATCCACATCATTGAATCTGTCATGTCGAGTTGGGATCAGGGAAGTGTTAAAATCTCCCCCAACTACCATGGTATTTCCGTAACCGTAGCAGGTGTTCAGAGCATGCCACAGCTTTTTCCGTGCTCCAATATGGATCAGGGCATGCTTGAGAACTCTGCGCGGCCACCTCCATCCCTTGGTAGTGACGGTGAAGTGGATAGGATGATGTGATACCCATGACTGGTCCATGGTTGGTCCAGGGACCAGTGGGTAGATTGCAAGAACACCAGATCAACTTGTTGCAGCGTGACCCAAAGCATGAACTCACTGAAGGACTCTGAAGTCAAGGAGCAGCAGTTCCAGCAAAGGTGTGTCAGTCGCGGTCGGCGTTGAGAAGGAGTATTGGCCAGTGGTGGAACTGGAGCATGCTTCACAGTGTCATGCTGGACAGGCGAAACAAACACTCTTCCACGATACACTGCAAACCCGTGGAGTTGCAACCGTCAAAACTACGTTTACGAAGCCGGTGAAGTTTGTCTACTTTTGGATTTTGGATTCTGGTTTGTCCCGAGGGACGCTTGGAGCCCTCTGCTAGGTGTTTTGGAGTGAGGCAACATCTGACCACACAAAAAAGTGGCCTCCTCCAGAGGATCCCCTAGCTGATCCTCTACCCTCACCTCTATTATTCCAGTTTCCATGATGAATGTCACCGAGAAGCTGATGCGGAAGAATCCCGGACTTGGGACCGGGGGTGCTCTGCATAGTGGACAGTGGCTGCAGGTGAAGCGCTAGCGCCAGCGCCCACCACCAACGCCAGGTAGCCAGCCGCATGATCAGCGGCAGTGCCATGCCACCGTCCCCGCCCGCTGGCGGGCAAGTTCGAGCACCAGAGGCTTGATAGATTGATTTATTGATTGATAGATAGATAGATAGATCGATGGATGGATGGATGGATGGATAGACAGATAGACAATGATAGACAGATAGACAGAGACTCAGAGAAAGAGAGAGAGAGAGAGAAAAGATAAAAAGGAAGTACCCGCAAAACGACCTTCATCTGGACCAGCTTGATGAGGAAACCTTCTGCCCATAGGTTTTTGTCAGCTAGATAGTATTGACCGAGCAGCCTCTACAGGATTCTTCCAAACAAAACACAAAATGGAATTCATGTATACATTGAGACCAAGTCTACATGCAGTCCTCCGGTGGGAGCAAGGATAGAGCGTAGTTCTTCACGCCCGTGGAGATTGGAGCCAGCCTGGTCTTAACCAATTGAGACGTGTCAGAGCACAGCTGAGGCACACCACATTGGATTCATCAAATGTCCGGTTCCTTGCGAGAATTGATGAGCACAATGTGCAGTGCTTGCACAGCAGCTTGCTAGCTCAACACCTCCAATGCTGTGGTAGGTGAAAGCAGTGACACTGCTGGTTTGCTGTTCTTCCACCTTTACTGAGCAAGAGAGAAGTTTGCCAACTTGCTCAAAGTTGCCTGCGGAAGTGAGCCAAATCAACATCGTTTGGTAGCCTTCCTCGTTGGCCACCCGCCCCTGTCGCAACCGATCTGCTCAGCAACCCTCGTCGCAGCCAATCTCCAAGCAACAGAGGCAAACCAAGGACAATCTCTTGCCCTGGGCATATTGCAGTGGCCAATGCTGGCTTTGATCCAATTCTCTCCGAACTCGTTGCTTGGCGGTTGATGTGCAACAACATCCGATAAAGCTGTTCGGATGCTCGTTGGGCTTGTTTGAAGCACTTGCAGAGCTAGCCTGTCTCTCAGCTCTCTGTCCTGTCTAAGCTGGTGGCCAGACCTTTGACCAGGGCTTTTTAACTTTAACTGTGCGCAAAGCCAAAGGAGAAACTTTGGACCCTTCAGGACCCTTCAGGACCTTGAAGATTTGGACGCTAAAACAAAAATATGTTGTTGGGTCTAGCAGTTTTGCTGTTGCACAACTCATCTCTGTGCGACTTACAGGCGCGCGGGTAATCATATAGAATTCTGCGGCACTGAATTCTGTACAGTTCTGTTTGAAACTAGTAGCTTCTTGTTACTAGTAGTAAGGCACTTGTTACTACTAGCGTGGCACTTGTTACTACTAGTAAGGCACCTGTTACTACTGGCACTCTTTGTGTGGACCGGAGCGGACTTGCCTTGCCAGAAAAAGTGCTTTCAATGGTCGCTTCTGCACAGCGGCCATGTGCCGCTGCAAGGCGGCAGGAAACTCCAAGCCTAAGGCCTCAAAACATTCAAGCACTCCAACTCCAAACAAAGTGGAGTCTACTATCACAACAAAGTCAACTAAAGAATGCAAAAATGAATATGTCAACGAAGCTTCCAGGTGAGTCAAATGTGTTCGACGTCAAGTACATTGAACAAACGACTTCTGTCTCATTTCCGCATGCCGAAGACATAAAGGTGCAGCCTGTCCAAACAAGCGGCCTAAGAGACGTGCAGCTGGAGTCGAGCAGTGTGATCGCTTTCTGAAAGAGCTGTATTGTGCAATTTAGAATTACTAAAACATGTTGAATCAATCAACGGTCAACCCTAATTGACTCGTGCAAGTGATGCTACTATGACCCATTCTGCATCGTGAGCCTCACAGTCCGTTGTGTTCCTTCCTCCAAGAATTTCATGTGTTGGATGAATGTGCCGCTGAGGATTTTGCACTAGTTAGAATCCAGTGCGTGGATGTGCCGTGAAGGCCACAACAAAAGGACATTCACTGAAATGACATACCCAAACGAAAATGATAAACTGGTTAATTGAAGGATCGTTATTCAACTGTTCACCACAAATTTGGCCAAGCCACCCAAGAAGAGTGACACCAGTGCCTCAGCTAACAATTTTTCTTGCTTTTTCTTTCTTTAGCCCGCTCCCCCCTCCCTACTTAATTAAGTAGGCGCCTACTTAGTCAAGTAAGCTAGTAGCTTACTCAAGCTACTAGCAGCTGGCATGGACGCAGGATAGCTCACGCTATTCACTTGGTTCCTAGTTTTTTGGGGAAACTTAAGTTGCTCCCTACAACTTAAACAAAGAACCGGGTGATGTACAGTAGATCATCATGTCAGGGACATGTTGTGACTGTTGGTGCCCAGTCGCCGACCAACTTGTTTCACCCTGAAACCCCTTTTCCAAAGCTAGTGTGTTGACCACTGCAACATCCATGCAAGTGAGGTATCATCCCATGATGGTCAAACCAAAACGACAGGGTTATGGCCAAAAGGCTTGAAAACATTGGATCCTGGCGGGCCAAACCCAAAACAACACAAACAGCGTGTATAAATAAGCAGTGCAAATGCTGCCAAACGAGCTGGTGCTGCTCGGCATACAGGGCACAAATGGGGACAAATCCACACAGCAAGGAAGCCTGTATTGGGGCCACCGGTAGTGTTGACCAAAACCCAGCCACAAAAGTTCTTGCTGGGACACCACTCCCGAATGCTATTCTGAACAAGAATGCTCGCTTGAACAAGAATGCGTCAATGTGCCAAGGTTCACTTATTGTCTTTGCCAGCACGCTGGCTGCCGTCCCCAAGACTGCACCTGGCACAAATTAGAGTCTGAATTCCAAGATGCACCAAGTGTCCCCTGATGGCCCAAGCATGACAGAGGACCATAGATATTTCCAAGTGCCACGTCCACAACCTCAAGATGAATGCAATTTGCCCACCAGGACACCCGCTCAATTGTTACCATCGTGAAAGAAGATTTGAGACCTCTTGAATTGCAACTTACAAAGCAGAACTTTGTTCTGAGGGTTCGAGGCTCTCATTAGCCTCATTAGCCTCTCGCACTCCAATGTCATTTTCAGCAAGGCAAACCAATAGTTTGATAGTCTGATGGCGCATCCATCTTGCGGTGTCTAATTACCCTTGCGGCCTGCCATGTGTGTGAGCTGCTGGGTGAGTGGGCATCTCGTCAACAAAATTGATTTTTTATTCGTGTCCTTTGGGCCAAGCTTACCATGTTGTGTCTGTGCGCAAGAAAAGCCCCTCAAAAGTCCTCTGTCCATGAGTCTGGTTTCCCTTCTTCCATCAGTCTCAAGTGTTTCAACAGCTCTGGGTCTAGGATTCCCACCACTAGATTTTAAACTTGCGACCTTTACTCCCTTCATGTACTTCAGCCTCCCCGAGTCTAGCTCATCTGGAGGGATTAGAAAATTGAGGCCTTCATGTCAATGTACTTCAGCCACTAAACCCCTTGGACCAAAGCCCTACTGGACTTCTGGACTAGCTTCCCTGTCACCATAAATCATGTTTAGTTTCATGACAAAGCTGTGCCATGCTCCATCCCACCACAGCCTCTCCGCCAACTTGAAGAGTTTCGGTGGCCATTGGTTTGAACAGCCACCTCTGTGCTCCACGGAACGGAGGGATCAACAAGATCCAGAACGGCAAGCTCAGCTGAGTTGTGGGGCCACTCCCTGGGGGAGAGCCAACAAGCCCAAACTGGCTTGGGAACCGCATCCTCAAAAAAAGCTCTGCGACAAACACTTCAATGCCTTCTTCCCGTAGATCTTCACAGCTCGCAGAACTTGAGTGAAGTGTGGTGATAAATTACACCCCTCCGGAGGTCCCAACTTGCGAAAAGCACCAAGTAGGTGTCAACCTTGGGATTGATTTTGGATCGGGCCTCCTGCACCAAACCTGGTGGCATACACTTTGCAGCACGACACTGCCCGGAAGATTGCCACAAGACTTGACAAGCTGAAGCAGGCCGACATGTCCACACAAAGCTGGCAGGATGTGTGACGGTTATTGCACTTTGATTTGACTGTTGATTTGATTTGTTCGATTTGTTTTTGATAGCTTTTGATAGCTTGTGGACTACTCCAGCACCATGCTAAGCATGCAAAGGATAAACGAATTCGAAAACTTGCAGTAAATGGGCAAAGAGCGAAGCCAAGGCTGAGGAAGGGGAACAGGCAGCTTTCAACTGTATATATATATATATACACACATAATCGTGCATATTATGAGTATATATGTATTTGTCCTACCGAATCTGAACTCAACAGGCACACCTTCCCATAAAATCAATCCCATAAATGAATGCAGCATTTGTAATTCGTAAGGGCTGCATAAAAGTTTCAATAAAGTGTCACACCTTCGTAGAAGCAAAATGATGCAAGATGTAACAAGCCCAAGTCAGCAAAACATCTTGCTCTGCCGACACTTCCTCTGGCTTCGCTTTACTATCTTTACTTATTGCCCCATCACCCACGAGTACTGAAGCACTAAGTGTGACTTCAGCTGTGGACATGAACCAGTGGCAGTTGGCTGGGTGCCAATAGCCGGCAAGGCCCTGGCACCTTCAAAAAGCACCGAAGCACCCTGAAACTCAGACCCAACAGGGGACTTTTCCCTGTGATGCCCAAAGCTAGGTATGTGCTTTGGCACTGGCAAGTGGGAAACCTGGATTCTCCATTCTGCACATGTCGGGTAATCAACACATGTCACATGTCTTTCTATTGTCGCCCACAAATACAGTAGTTCAGGCCCAGGCTAAAGATTCCAGGAAATGTCAACGTTCGTCATCTGAAGCAGTTTCTTTTCCCTGACACCAATGACGTGATTAGAATGTTGAAACTCACCTCTCCCAACTAAAGCACGGAGAACTCTGGCAGCACAGCTTGTCTGCTGTATTGCTGCAGTGCTCCGCAGCTGGCTCAGTACATGTCAACGACCAGGGGCTGCACAGACGAGCTGTCCTTTGGCAAGCACCAGCATTTGGAATCACAACGGCTGGGATGGGATGGATGAATTCGCACGCTGCACGTTGAAAGAACATATACCATATACGCCGCATGCCATATAATCTCTCTCCAAGCTGTGTGATTCTCACTTGGACCTGGTGAGCCTTGTCTGACTCCAAGCTTTCAATGTTCAACCAACCCCAACCTACTTTTTGATACCAATGGTACCAAGCGGCACCCCCATAGTTGGCATCACCCCATGTAATTACTGTGCCATCATCTCGCAAGGCAGCAAAAGCTCCATACGACCCGGCGATTTCTTTGATCTGATTCAGCTGATCCTCCACAGGATGTTTTTGGGAAGGGAATAGGCCATAGTGAGCTTAAGTAGCTAATGATGATAGGGGATAAGTATACAGTAGTAGCAAGGAAGCTACTAGAAACTTAACATGTGTCAACCAATCGCCAATTGTGCCAACTGTTTTGTGTCAATGGACGCACGCGGCGTGTAGCAGAACAAACAACACACGTGCTTGTGTATGTTTGCGTTCAAAAAAAACTATACTGCTATGCAAAAGTGAGCAAAATAGGCTATATATCATGTTCAAAGGAACATGTATATACATACACGTAAGATCAAAGGAAGCTTGGTCTTGTCAGGACTTCTTGATTCAGCGGAGGAACCTCTAGACCCAACATGAAAAACATGGAGTCACAAAGAGTATGACAAAAAAACGGAATGTATTTCTCTGAACCACAGGTAATCTAGTAACTATGTCTTGTCTTAGGATTGGGACTGTGTCAAGTATCTCAATACCCCTTCCTACTAGAAACAAGGAAACACTATGAACTTTGACCACTTTAAGAACATCTAAAAGTCTTAAACGACATGTTGTTTATTACTATATAGTATGGTTTTGGTCTTTATGTTCATGTTTATTTAAGAATGCATGAGCGAAAGGCCACAGTATAAAGGGGTTTGGGCGGCTTTAGGTCTTGGTGATGTTGGCCACGGGGATTGCATTGAGATTGTTGTCTCTCCTTGATTCTGTCATTGAAACAGTACAGAGCTATCCAGAACTCCTGAAATAGGCAGCATGTCCCTCTATATGACCATTGCCTCCACCCTAAATAGAAAGCCCATACTGCGTCCTTCACCACCGAGCTGTCACCTCCTTTGTGCGCAAGGCCCCAGGTATGCACCGTGCCATCCTGCCGCAAAGCTGCAAAAGCTGAAGAAGTCGCCTGCAAAGAGGAGCAGCAATGGGACCCAAAGAGGCCGAGGGTACGCACGGGGTCAATAGGTTTGTCTCAGGTTGTGATTGCATGTGCTTTGCTTTGTTTTTGCCATTGAAAGTAACTTGGATTTGCAACACAACAGCAGGTAGCAACTCAGCTGACTGGGATTCTTCCATGCGTTGCTAAAGCTCCCAGAGTGAGCCCAAATCCCATTGTTTGATGCACAGGGAACTGGGCAGGAGCTGGGGGTAGAAGGAAAGCGCATCAGAAGTGCAAAAGCGTAAGCGTGTTGCTGCTAGGTACACACAAGCACGCGCCTTACCGCTGATCCTCACTAGCAAAGGGTGTTCCCTCTAGCTCCATGGTTCCCTGCCTAATGGCAAATATGGATGCCCGGGGCCCCTCAGATCCTTCAATGAGCACTAGCTAGCTAAGCATTTGTTACTGCGTAGTAAAACTAAATCGTAACCGAGACAGAAAGCACACCACAAGTGCAACAGTGCAGAAATGTCCTGCTATGTTCGAGCAACTGCGTGTGGCCTTGCTGCGCATAAAACATGTTTTGTGATGCGGAGAAAGAACGTTTCCCGACAAGTGTAAGAGTTGTTGCCGGCGCAAACGCGTCCTGCACGTGCAACTGCCTGCAGCTGCTGCACGTGCTTATACTTTGTGCTACGTAGAACGCTGCTTCGTAGCGGACACTACAAGTGCAAAAGCTGCCGCGGTTGCAAAATGTCCTGCCAGGTATGTGGCCTTGCTACGCATCCAACTTGTTTTGCGGCTTGCGCATTTTTGCGCAGAATACAAACAGTACATAGAAGGAATTACTTCGCGCCGAAGACATGTGCCCGGCATAGAGGCGCGTTACTGAGCACGCACCGGTCCATGTTTTGCACTGCGTGCAAAGGACGCCCGGCGCTGCAAACACGATGCGCGCAGTTCATTGACTCCTCTAACACGATTCAACCTGTACGATACCGAGGCCATCAAGCCAACATAAGCCAACGATCTGCGATCCACGCTGAGAAACATAATTGCCCATTGCCCCAAGCTCTCGGCCGCGACTGGAGCCAGCAGGGCCCAAGGCTGGTCACAATGTCACAGCATGTGACCTAACATAACCAAACAGCAATCAGGGTTCCAAGGTGGAAACCCGATCATTGAAACCGACCCAACTGCGTTGCTCGAAACGCACCGCTGGTCTCAACAGGACCAAAGAAAGAAAACACCGCCACCAAAGAAACGCCTCCGCCTGACGGCACCCAGAGTTCCAAGGTTCAAGGGCTCCAAGGCAGCATTCGCGCGTTCCAGGGTGGCAAGCAAGGGTTCCCACACAACAGCGCATAGGATTCCGGGCGCCAGTGGCCAACTGCACCACCACTCCCAGCCCCAGAGAGTGAAACCCAACTGCATTCTGTTGTTGGGAACAACCTGCAAAATCACTAAAGCGCAAACAGATCAACACCAAACAGGTTCCAAGGTGGGACAGTAAGCACTGCCACCAAAACCCAAACACTGCACACCATCCCTGTAGGCAAGGCGCGCCACTCCCTGCCCAGACAGCACCCAAGGTTCCAGACATCACCCAGGCTTCCAGGATCAATTCCGGTTCTCAAGCCCTGTAAGTGTAGATAAACTGCGCACCACTCCCAGCCCCAGAGATTGAAACCCAAATGCATTCTGTTGGGAGCATGCAATTGGGAATTTTGCT